GGGGCACATGAATATGAGTGTAAAATATCCAACATCCCAAAAAATGAGCCGACTCCAAAGCAGCAGCAGCAGCATTGTAAATCAATAACTGTTTCTGGCAGTGACAGCTCCTGCTTCACTCCGTTTGTAACTTCCAGTGCAAGTGTAAAGTCGACATGAATACCTTGTTAAAAATATACAAGAGGCAGGAGCCACTGTGAGTTGTGCTCTGCAAAAAAAAAAAAGAATGAAAGAAAGAAAGACGGAGAGAAAAAAAAATGTCTCCTCTCCTCGGGAGCTGAAATGCCAAATGAAGAGTATGAAGATGAAATGGCACCTGCAGGAAGAAAACAAATGCATGAGCAAATTGTGGATTTACTGCTACACACTCAAACACACACACTCATTATTTCTCCACGTGTGTGTCGTTCTCTCACACACACACACAGACACACTCCGAGCAGAGGTAAACATCTCACTTCATAGCTTATTCACGGATGGGTTGTTTTTTAAAGGTTGGTTGCCTATTACAGGTGAAGATGTACTTGTCAGCATCCTCCGCTTGTTTGTGTTTAAATAGAGATCTCCTCATGGTTTATTTATTATGATTCCACCTGGTAATGTGTGTCAGTGGAAGATGTGGCAGCTCAGTCTTTGCTTTTACAGCAATAGGTTGGATTATCACTTAGATAAAAGGGGGAACATGCACAGAGGCCGTGGACACCTGTGGGTCCAGAACACTCCAACTTAACTCGGAATCATTTGAGTGTGAATAATCTGATTTATCCATTTTTGATTCAACGTTTGATTACATGAAATCGTGCTGATATAAAAACAGACCATGTATTATTCCTCTGTTCAGTTGAGAACAATATTTGTTTAATGATCAAATAATGAATGAATCACTGTCTGATATGTGACAGGACTCTGAAGAGCACTGTTGGTTCTCAGTATTCAGTCGTACTGATGGGCTGTAAATCAAAGGCCCTCCCTCCTTGTTAGTGTCAATTACGCAGCACATCCACTTAGACCTTTAAGAGACTCTGGAGGAAAAGTGTTTCTACCTGTCCACCATTCTCATTAAATACAGACGGATCACCCGCCCACCCACTCAGCCTGCCTCATCACCATCACAGGAGACCTCTGTGTGCAGGAACGTGCTGTTACTCAACACACAGCTATAGTATATTATTAAACCCCATTCAAGTGAACACGGTCAGTAATTAGAGCCGTCATCCAACAGAAACTTACGCACAACAGACTTGTCGAAGGTGAGTTTACAAACAAGGCTTTTAACGGCAGTTTCCTGTCTGGTGTCACTGTGTAACGGCTGTGTAAGTTCTAAATACTGGAAATGCATTCGGTTGTTTCATTAACACGGAGGAGGAAACTCAATAACTACTGAACTGATTTACATACCCACCGAAAAACCCATTCAATTGTGAAGTGAATTGGCATTTTGGCTGAATTTGATTATTTATTAACATGTATAGTCAATCAAGAATAAAAAATTATGTTCTTCTTTGGTCAAGAAGACAGACAACAGTCCAAAAACAACAGACAGGTGCTGTCTCAAAGTCTTATGTGAATGCAAACACATTATTTAAGTGGAGACACAAAATGCTGCTTTGGTCAACGATGGAAGAAACACCTGAAAGCAACAGTTCGTTTCTGGTGTTCAGATCACAGCACTCCTGAAAAACTGTTCTGTTGACAAAGCAACTACAGCGTCCACATATATTTACAATCTGTGTAACACCGCTGTGTTTCCTCTCGATGCTGTGACTTAAAAAATTCAGACAATAAACACTGTCAAAGCCCAAATATTTATCTCATTCAAAGGCGGCATGACAACAGAAGATAATCACAACTGAAACGAAAGGATTAATGTCCTCATCAGCCAATCTAAAGTTTCTTTAAATGAGTTGATGGGAACTAATGTCCAAAAATAGTCAGTTTACAATGATCTGATGCGTAAGTAACAAATCTCACTGCATGAGGAAATGGAACCAGAGAATATTTGGCACCTTTAAAACTTTTTTTAGCATGAAATTTGATGAGAACAATAAACTGGTTCTTAAAATAGTTCAATAAGCAGATTGTTTTTCTGTTAAATCAACTTATGGTTTCAAAGATCATCAGTTTAAAGGCTTTAATTATACTGGGGAAAAAGAAGATGCCTTACTGGTCTACCTACATGTGTGACAACAATATGCACATAACGACCTAGACTACCACAATAAAAGCATTCAAATGAAAAACCAAACTGATAAACTCCAAAGAATGAAAATGTACAATATAGAGAACTAGAAATATACAAAACACAATCCCAGAGTCTGTCTTTTTTCACATGGGAGTCCTTCAGTCCTTTTAGTTTTAAGGTCACTCCACCACCAGCTCGAACTCCTCTGCCTCCTCGAACACTGCGTTCATCTCTGCGGCCAGCGCGTCCAGCTCCACGGTGGCGATCTGCTGCACCTTCCTCCGCCTCCTCTTCTCCTTCACCACGGCCACCCCGGGGATGTTGGTGTCCTGCTCGGGCTGAGCCGAACCACCGTCGTCCGCCTCCAGCAGAGACGTGAAGGAGCTCAGCCCGGTGACGGACGCGGAGGCCTCCAAACCCGTCTTGCAACGCCGCACTCTCTGGAGCACCTCGGGGGTCTGCAGCTTCTCGAAGCCGAACAGAGTCTCACGGGGGTCGGGGCTGTCGAGTGACCCGTCGAGTGACCTGTCGCTGAGCCTGCTGTAGGACCGGCGCACTTTCTGGGACCACACCGCGTCTTCTGGATCCGGCTGCTGGGGACGAGAGGGCGGCGGGGATGGAGGGAGGATCGGTGAGGGCAAAGCGGCCTTCTTCTTCTTCTTCTTCGCCGAGGAGGAGCTGCCATGGTCCGGGGCGGGACCCGGGGTGGACACCTTCTTCTGGATGTCCCCCGACCGTGTCGACCGTCTCGGGGTGTTCTCCTTGTTGTGATCCGACGGCGCGGTTGTTTTCCTGGGAGCGATTTTCCTCACTGTTATGGAGCGTTTGACGGCGACGGACGCGGGCGCCATTTTATTGTCCGTTTTGAAATTAGCCCGAAGAGCAGGGGAACTCAGCCGCGGAGACCGTCTCCTCAGCGGGTCATCCGGCTTGTTGGACTCCGACATGACGCTTCGAGGTGTCCCGCCCTTCATAGCGACCTTCACCGGGGAAACACAGCCGAGCTGAACCGGGTTTAAAGTCGTCGTTGTCCCGAGATCGTGGCGGATCCGCTCAAATCGCCCGCCTCGGTCGCGAAGAAGTGACGTAGCGCGCTTTTCCGGTGACGCAAGCAACCCGCGCCACCTGTCTCAAACTTTTGCTGTGTAATCTGTACACACGCGAGCAAGAGGCGCCGCTGCGTTATTATTTAACACTTATTCCAGCTCCGCGGTTAATATCCACCATGGAGTATTTACTTGGGATCCAGGGGCCGGATTTTGTCCTCGTCGCCTCCGATAATGTCGCAGCGAGCAGCATCATTCAGATGAAACACGGTATGACAATGCGTTAGCTTAGCATTAGCCACTCAGCCGGCAGCTGGGAGCTAATTTAACGCACCTACGTCCATATTCTCATTTTACGCCTTTCACAGATATATTAAATATATATCTTAGTTTATGGTACCGTTGTGTAACCAAGTCTAAATACTCCTTTTGCTATTTTAAACCGCATGTTCTGAATGTGACTTGAGCTAACGAGGCTAACCGGAGCTAAGTTAATTAGCGAGTAATCTGTATCCTGCTGTTTTTTGTGAAAAGTTTTGATTTTATCTTCATCCTATAATTTGCTCCATTATATTTAAATCCACTAAACAAGTCGTTGTGTTTTTGTGGAATTCCAGCTTTTCAATCAGGCACATTAACATTAACAGCGAAAGTGAAAGTCAACGCTGCATGACTTCACTTCACTCTCTGCACATTCTAACATTGAAGATACTTAAAGTGTTTTTAATGTTCCCTGTGTTTTTCAGACTACGACAAGATGTTCAAACTCAGTGAGAAGATTTTGCTCCTGTGTGTCGGAGAGGCAGGAGACACTGTGCAGTTTGCAGAGTACATCCAGAAGAATGTCCAGCTCTACAAAATGAGGAATGGTAGGAAATAAACCAGTGTGTGGCATTTCATCCACCCGGGTGCTGTTCTGTAACAGTGCCGGACATCTTTTCATATTCATTAAACACAGGTTCCCGAGCTTGACCCAGTGTTTGGTGCCAGAACACAAACTACACGTGTTTGATTGCGTTTAAATGAGAAGTAATGTGAGAAGTTATCTCAATCAACTTAAGTCAAAAGTGGTCTGAAGTATAAGAAGTGAATAAATACAGCCCGTGATTGTCAAGGTTTGATTGAAATAAGAAGCCTCCTGAAGTATCTAACAAATCAATCCAGCGATGCTAACTTGTATGTGCCCTGTCATTGTCATTTATAGTTATTTAATATTGTGTCTGATGCCATTCCCCCCCCCCCTTTCTATTTCTTAGGTTATGAACTGAGTCCAGCAGCAGCAGCAAACTTCACACGAAAGAACCTTGCAGACTATCTTCGGAGCAGGGTAACTACAATGATAAATACAGTCTATCACCCCATTTCTTCCAGCGTTAATAGCCTTAAACCGATGAGATAATCCTCTTTTAAAGTCTAAAAAGTATTTTAAATTATTTATTCATTTTTTTACTGAGCTGCAAACCAGCTTTATGAGGAAAGGCATCTCTATTCTCTGTGATTTAGCAAAATTTTAAAAACACATTTATATTTTACTGCCAGAGATATAGTTTAAGGAAACTTTAATAGTCCAAAGTTTTAGAAACTGAACATAATCAGCTCCTTGCTATTTTCAGTGTTGTTAAAATCCCTCGTTCCCTGGTACCAAGGTAGGGCTTGGTAATTTATGCATTGTAGAGTTTGAACAGCATCACTGACATTGTCAGATATGTTCATACTCTTGTATAGTGACTCACAATTTTCATAGACAAAATAATTTAACACGTAAATTTAGCTACATTTATTTTTATTTAACTTAAATCCAGCTACTTAGCCAAAGTAAAGTGAAGGCAACCAGCAAAATAAATCCCATTTAATCTTTCATTCAGTTGTACTTGATGTTTCATACTCTACCATGAGATATACGATTCTGTGAAATCAACAGTTGTCTTTGAAAATAAGACTGCACATTGTTTTTAACACAAAAAAAGCTGAACAGCCTTGTGGTGTCTCCACAAATGTAAATTCATCTTGTAAGATGCACCATCTGCTGCAGTTGGTGTTACTATGTGTTCTCAGGCCTCCTCCAGCTAACATAATGTAATTCTCACTTCTAATTGCAGGTACAATCCTAACATGTATACCAGCAATGTCTTTACATTTCTGCTTGAAATTTCTTTTGTGACCAAAACAGGAAAATGGAAACACAACAGTCTGGATGTTGTGACACACTCATGTCAGTTATAGAGGAATAGTAGTTGTTTCAGTTGGGAATCAAGTCTCACCAGCAATTATACCTGCGTTTGTGTCGTTATCAGCGTGAGATATCTAAACTGATCCAGCAGATGCATTTTGACAAAGGCAGGTACATTTGTCAGCTTGTTGTGAGTGGTGACAATGGTTCCTCCCTTTGAGACTTCATGACAACACCTGAGCCTGCTCCGCGCCCCCCCCCCACACACACACTCACACCAACTGCACAGCTCCTCTGGGTATATTTTCAAAATACCCGGGTTTCAACCTTTAGTTCTTACAATACCAAAATCCAAAAGCTTCAGTATTAATACTGTATATAAAACAAATATACCACAGTAACAAAATTAGTATTTGTTGTTAAGAAAATTTATAAGAGCACTAGACTTGACCTTTTTTTATTTCTAGGATGAGAAATATGCAACTTGCTTCACAAAGGTTAAAGCTGCAGCTGTGATCAGAAAAAAAATCCACCCACTATTTAGTTCATTAAATAATTGTTTTGTCTTATGGTTCCGGTATTTGCTGCATTTTTTAAACTAATGTGGTAGTAAAGTCAATATTTTCTTCATGCTTTTGTCTTGTGCTTCAGAAAAAACCTTAATACTTTTACATTTTCTATGACATTTTCGTCACAAAACCATCAATTGATGAATCAAGAAATGACACGGCAGATTAATCCTGTTAAAGTGATAATCATTTCACAAGTACTTCCATTCAGCCTTTGTATTTGTTTTTTTAGACGTAACACACTCTTCCCAAGATGTCTCCGCTCCTTGAATCTACTCACTGCATCTTTTGCACTGATTTGTTAAGAGTAGTGCAGCCGTTGCCTGTCACAATAGCAGAAGGGTGAAAATAATTACAAAAAACAATTAGTGAGGCAGAGAAGGGAATGTGGGACACATCGAATGGAGGATAGGGATCGAGCAGGAGGAGGAGGAGGAGTGGGCATCCTAGGGGAGAACAACCAGGCCCAGTAGACAACACCGCACAGACTGAGTGTGAGAATGACATCAACATGTACACAAATACAATATACATGCTCACAGAGGGACCTATAGGATTAGGATCGTGTTTTTCAGTCAAGGTTGTATATGTTGCGGAGGATAACATTTATATTCATGTCTTGTCATAAGTTGCAACTGTATCGTTATTTTCATGCCTCACGGTTATGAATATGGTTTCATGAGTGCAGGATTTACTAATGCCATGTTCTCAGGAGTGCTCGGAAACTGAAGCAATAGCAGTTTCTTTCCTGCATCCCACACCTTCCTCCAGCTATGCTCTTTTCACATTCATCAACCTCCAGAGTACATGGACATTTGCAAATTATGTTGTATAAACAGGTTTTTTTTTTTCATAGCCCCCCAGAACATCCTGAGTATGTAGAATATGTAATGTGTGTTGTCCATTTGAATGTGAAACACAGAAAGAAATCATCTGCTGAGATCTTGAACTGTGATAGAAACTTAGTTTTTTAAGATAAGTAACAAAAATATGCAGGAGAGTTAATAGAACACAGAAGCATTTTGAATTTTTCTACGTTATTGGAATCAATAATCGTTTTGTTTGAAACGTGTAGTTTAGTACAATGCACAACTTTGGAGTTGCAGTCAATGGTTGATTATTTTCCTCAATGATTAATCTTTACTCTCGATTAATAGATTATTGGTCCACACGAGCACAAGCTGAGGCCTTCATATTTCTTATTTGTGGGACGAATGGTCAAACGAGCTGAAGCAATCCATTTTAAATGATGAAAACAGCATTTGGAAGCAATAAAATGTAAGATTTTTGGCTTAAATACCCTCAAAGTTTACTAAATCTTTTACTGCTTTTAACAAAAGTTATTTTAAGGAGAAGTATCTCTTCAATGATATTATATCCTATATTATTACTCTGAAAAGGATTAAAGCCGTACAGTTAACCCGCCATTGTTCACAACACACGCATCGTAGCTGATCTCTGACCACAGGCTGGTTTCTCAGACATGGATTTACCTCATTTGTTGACTTAAAAGAAAATTAATTGCAGATTTTCTTCTTCTTTTTTTTTACCGACCTCGCTCAGTTCTTGTCTGGGGACGTGGCTGCATATGTTGGAATCTGTTTTAATTAATCTGATTAAATCATTGCAGATGAAAGTTCAGCCCTGACAGAAAGGAAAGATAACGATCTGCTCTTGAATATCAAATCTTTTTCCTTCTTCTTCTTTTTCCACTATCCTTAAATTATCTTCTGAACGCCCACCCTCCCCCCCAAAAAAAAAATCTGACGTGAACCCGCCAGCATCTCCAGACCCCTAGGTCAAAAACCACTGACTGATAAATTAATCAGTGGTATATTGTTAATTCTGATGGCCTTATTCCTGCAGGATAAATTACAGATGAAATTACCCAAGTGGCTGCAGACCTCCAGGAGGTGTAGTTAGCTAAAGTCAGCAGCGCATGTCGGCGCAGAGTGAGCGTAACCCTGTTCACATACGAATGTGTACTTACCAGCCCCGCCGTCCAGAAAAACAATTCCACTAACCTGGACTGCTGCGTTCACTCAAGCTTTAGAGAGCAGACAAAGAAAAGAGAAAAAAACATGAGCGGGAAGCATAATCACCTGAGGCCTCAACTCTGCTGCATGCATATCAGTAATGATACACATGAAATTCACCACAGAACAAAACAACAACTGCAAAGTTTTGGGGGCATAGAAATTCAGCTTCTGCTCTGATTCTGTTTGTTTTATTTTCCCTGTTTCATGTGCTCACAATATATTTGTGTATTTAAGATAAATGCAGATTGAACTGATAGATATTGGCATGTGCACCTGTGAGGTAGTCTAAAACGTTGAGCAGGATTGTCGGGTGTTGGAGGCTCAGACACGAGGTTAAATTAAATCCGAATAAACTCAGGGGAGGCAGGAAGTTTATAAATACCACATTTCTTTTTTTTTTTTTAGAGGTTTATGTAGAAGCCTGAAAGCCTCGCAGTCATCAGTTTTTGTCAGTGTGTGGATGTTTGCTGCAGTGAGCTGAAGAAGTTAGATTTTTTTTTTTATCTGTGCGACCACAGCAACAGTTAGCCTCAGTGCTGTGGTGATCTACAGCTGGCCCCATATGGGTTTGTAAAATATTTTTTAGCACACAATGGGCACAAATAATTACTGGTGCCATATTGCATGCAGCTCCCCTGCTCCTGCACAGATGAACAATTAATACAGCAGATTGAGGAGAAATGCCAATAAAGAGAACACGCCCCAGGGCAGAGTGCAAAAAAAATAGGGGGAGGGAGGCAGGGATGAGTGGGGAGGAAGGAAAGAAGGGAGGGAGTGCTGGAACGTGGAAGAGGAGAGTTTGGGGATGAGTTTGTGGCGGTTTACGAGCGACATGACCTTAATTTGTGTCACAGCCAAAGCTGTTTTTATTCAGAAGCCGATGCCTTAAAGGAACATTTCAACATTTTGGGAGCTACGCTAATTCGCTTTCTTGATCAGAGTTGGATGAAAGGATTTATACCAGCCTCGTGTCTGTACTGTGATAGTGAAGCTCATTAGCTTAGCATTAAGACTGGAAACAGCTAGCAAGGCTCTATCCAGAGGTAACACAACTCACCAATTAACAAGAGCGCAGCAACTAATAATCACTAAGTTAATTGATAGAAAATAAAACAGCATCCTTTTTTGCTAATCAGTCGTCAGCATCAGTTTTCATACATAAATAACAAACCCTTGATGGTTCCAGCTACTTATTTGTGAGAATTTACTAATTTTCAAAGTGTTTAAACTATTTATCACTATGAAAAATCTCCAGCACATTAATCAAAACTTAAAATAATTAATATGTCTTGTTTGTTTGATTAATTCTGAAACAAAACTTTAAACAGCGACATGCTGTGTATTCACTGAAAATTAAGATCAAGCTATTTCTCAGCAGTTCTTGGTATATATCTTAGTATTTCCATACTTTATGCTAAGCTAAGCTAAATTTACCATATCCTCCTCTCGTCAAACTCTCATTAAAACTACGAGTGAGTGAACAAATTTCCCAAAATGTCTGACTGTTTTGCGTTCGCTGAAGGCGACGGTAGTAACGCACAGGTGCAGCTTCTGTTCGGCGGCGCAACGTTCGCCTTGATTGGCTGAGAGCGTGACTCGCAGCAGGGGGATAAAACATATGATGTGTATTGTTTGCATGTGAACCTGGGTGTGAGTTCAGGTGGCGGGGTTAACAAGGTGCCTGGTTCCCTCCGAGGTGACATGGGAAGGGAAGGTTATTTTGATGCCAAGTCCGTATTATTGTTACAATGTAACCAGTGAGGCAGGTGTCTGGTGGGTGGGGTTGACGCCACTGGGGAGGAGTTGAAGCGCACACGCTCACAAACACAAAAACACACACACGGTGTTCATCGTGAGATTCACACCCCCTGTGCACACGCACAAACACTGTTTCTCTTTCTCACGTGTGTGTTCAAAACCATCGTTAACACACACATGCTCTAAAGCCTGCTCCATAGGGAGCGTCACAATCACCGCTGCCCTTGTGGCAAACATGGCTCCGACACACCAGCCACAGACGTAAGCAGGTCGGCTGAGAGATAAATTGACACGAGAGGGCAGGTGCGTAGATCACAACTCGCCTGGCGACAAATGAATCATACTTGCCTCTCTCCGCATGACCGAGAACGCCACATTATGTTTTTCTTGTTGCATTTTAATCAAAACCACCGCGCATAGAATTCAGGCCGTAAGTTGCCTTGAAAATTGTCGAGCTTTAAAGGGATTTTTAAAGATGAGGAACGGGCTCGCAAGAAAAAAAACGAAGGGAGAAAATTAGTGTTTTGGAGGAAGAGAAGGGAGAAGAGGCTGGAAGCGTAAAAGATGTAATTTAAAAAGAGAGGGGGGGTGGGGGGGGCAAGAGAAACGACTTTAGAAGTTTTTAATGAGCCCTGGCACTACTCCAGGGCACAGGGTGAAGGCGGCGGAGAGGGGAGGGAAGAGAGAGCGAGCGAAAGAAGGGACAAGGAGGGAGCAACGGGGTGCTGACTCCCAGCAGATGTCACACTGCCTGTGACACCCTACCCCCCCCATGCACACACAAACACACACCTCCTCTGTCCTGTGACACCCTTTCACCTTTCCTCTCCCTCCATCACTATCCAGCCTCCCCTTCCTCTCTCTCTCACTCCCCCTCACCGCAGTTTACGCAGTGTTAATGTTGCCGCTGTGTGCATCACTCCTCGTCTACGCCAAGTTGAAAAATCAAAGTCGATAATTAAGAGCGATTTATTAAGGAGAGGTTGAGAAAGGGAGAAGTTGTACTTTTCAAGTGAGTGAGACGTCTTTGCTCCCGCTTCATCTCCGTTAAACGTAAAGAGTTTTATGAAATAATGTAGTCAGTGTCACTGTTGTGCCAATATGTATATATATGCTAATGTGAATGTTTGCACCTGTAATTGACGGGAGAAAAGAAAATAACTAAATAAATAAATTCTTCCATCTCATGTTTACTAATTGCAAAGGTTTATTAGCGGCTCGATGTCTTCAGATCCGGCTGCAGGTGAAGGAGCACTATCCTTTTCTGAATTTCGGGTCTTTAAGCTGAAAATGGAAGAAATGATTTTCTTACCCAACACGATGTAGATAAAATGGTTTACTAAAAATGTTGTTGTGCAATGTACCAACTGCTGCCGCCACTCTAGAGTCTAAAACGCTCTGAAAGAATATTGACGTGGGGACAAACAAAATGTCCCCACACTGCTGATTTCCTTGTGGGTAGAGGTCTGGAATCTCAGGGGGTATTAACCATCTGTAATTAAACTTAGCTGACTTTCACCTCTGGCAGGATTTCTCCATCGTGCCACACAGCTGGAAGTCAATAAATCATGTGTAATATACTTTACGTTTTGGAGCTTTGGATAGAATAATAATTTTAGTACCAGTTTCGATCCCATGTCAACACCTTGTTCCAGATCTGAATATTACTCCTCCACTCCCTCCTTCTCCTCCCTCCTCCTCCTTCCTCCTGTGTCTCCAGACTCCATATCATGTGAACCTGTTGCTGGCGGGCTACGATGACACAGACGGCCCGGGTCTCTTCTACATGGACTACCTGTCTTCCCTGGCCAAGGCCCCATTCGCTGCCCACGGCTACGGAGCCTTTCTCACTCTATCCATTCTTGACCGCCACTACAAACCAGGTCAGAGCAGAGAAACACAGGCTGCTTATTTTTCAGCCGTTTATTTTGTGTGGAGGCGAATCATACTTTGATACAGACTCTGGGCGCTGTAAGAGTTTTTGTAAAAATACAATTTGTTTATCTGACGGCATCCGACTGCAGCAGGAACAAGATTCCACTACAGTGCAAACTACATCCCTTGTCTTGTTCATGAAATATGTTTTTATCTCTTTTTTTTAGATCGAATCAAATGTTTCTGTTTGCGTCTCATTTATATTTACTTCTGTTTCCTGTTTAGATCTGACCCGGGATGAGGCGCTGGATCTTATGAAGATGTGCATTGAAGAAGTGAGTTCAAGAAGTTTCATTCATCCTCTTTATATGAATTACAATAATAAGCAATCTCAATAAAGTGTTTATTATATCGCTCAGTCTTTCACGTTGTAATATCGCTCTACAGAAGTAGCTCCAACACTCTCCTCTGTGCTCTGTGAGTTGTATTTACTATCACTACTGAAAAAGGAGAGACGTTAGCGCTGCGGGATGTAGCGAAGCGTTCTGTCCGGTCAGTCCACAGGACAACAAAACAACATGGGATTCAAACTGTGGAATTGACTCTTGAAAAGTCACATGAGAAAGAAGAAACGGACTCAGGGCGTTAATGATGGGAGGAGTCTTTCTCTGAATCATTGTGTGATGCATTTGAAAAAGCAGAAGCATATCTATTTTGCCAGTTGTGTTAATGACACTAAAACGGTTATTAAAACTCTTTCTATATGAATTGTCCTTAATAAACCTTCATAGTCAGTATTCCACCTTTTCCTTCATTTACCGTTTCCTCTTTTCTTGACTACATTCATTCTGCTTATTTATAAGTAAATTTTATCACCTGAATATTTTTATCAATTGATTTTTTGTATGATTCCTAATATCTCTTCCTGCGTCATCTCTCTTTTCTCCAGCTGAAGAAGCGCTTCATCCTGAACCTCCCCTCCTTCACCGTCCGTTTGATTGACAAGGAGGGCATCCATGACCTGGAGAAGATCACTGTCGGCGCCAAGTGACCGCTCACTGCTTAACCACAACCCTGACGCCCTCTTTTTTTTTTTTTTGTACTGTTGACCTCCTTGCTCTTTCTGTTCCAATAAAAAGTGACACACACACAGTTGAGATACAAGCTCTTTGTCCCTGTGGTGCTTTCTCGTTGCTCTCATGTCTGCTCATCTGCACATAGAAAGAGAACAGCCTCCTGGCTGTGTACTTCTGCAGTGTACTTCTGCACTTGTTCTCAGTGAGTGTGCGTGCGGGTAATGTACACGTGGACTAGAACATGGCTGCACATATGATGTTACTGGGGAAAAAAGGAAAAAGTCGAATTTTTTTTCTGTCCGTAAATGATCTAATGAGCCAAATAATCAGTTTAATCTTAATCTTTTAAATACTTTTATCGTTTGAGTTTCATCAACAGTTTTCTAACAGAAAGTATGAAAATATCACAATTTGCTTAATAGCAATAAATAAAATGACCACTAAAAAAAACGAAAGATTTTGCTTGACATTCTAGAAAAAAGCCCAAGTTAATTAACATTTTTAATTAATACTTTACAGAGCTTTTCCAGTGTGGCTTTACTCTAAACTGAAAACTAAAAATGTGTGAACTTTTAATATTATTTAATAAAGCGATTGGTTAAGGTGCTAAAAGAGTCTCTCTAATCTAATTTGTAGTTTAAAAAAAGATGATGTATTTCTTATATAGATGATGCAATTATCTGACCTCATGGTGACATCACGGTCACATCACGATATCATCGTCTGATCTATAAAAGCTCTGTCTGGTCCTGTCGGTCGGAGGCAGAGATACCTGGAAAATGCATTTTTTAATTATGCATGATGTCATTTGTCTCAGTGATGTCACTTACATGATGAAGACTCAAACATTTAGCTTGTCTCTCAGTGTCTTTTCTATTTTATGTAGAATTCTAGTGGAAAATGCGTTTGTTGACCTTTTGACTGAACAGTTCCAGAAGCAAATCATCTGGAGATACCCTCCAAAGTGATGTTCTCACCAGGTTTGGTGAAAATCAATCCATGGATTGCTGAGTCATTTTCTACACACACACACACACACACACACACACACACTGCTCGTGCGACTGTGGCTGGTCATTTTATCAAGATAACACAATTTCTAATTCTTGTATTTCTATTAAGTAATAACAAGCTTTCATGTGGTAAAACACAACCTTACTTATATACCATCATGAAGCTGCTGCAATAATTAAGATGCTTTATGTGCTTCTTCATTTCTGTACAGACGAAGTGTTACAGTAAATGAGCATACTTGTATACAGCTGTGTGTGGGAAAACCAGGCCAAGCTGGTAAAATCACAGCTGAATGTGTGTGTGAGAGAGAGACAGAGTGTGTGTGTGTGTGTGTGTGTGTGT